CAGAGATGAATAACAAAAGGATATGCCGAGTTTGAGTAACCAATCAACACACCTTCAACACAATCCATTGTTTAAGTACAGGCTTATGTAAATTGTTCAGCAGAAAGAGTTTCGTTTGGCTGATGTTTTCAGCTTTAGAAACACTACAAACAATTGCCAATTTACATTATCAATCTAGTTGATAAAACCAAATCATCTCACATGTGAGTTACCTCAGGAAAATTCACTTTCACCTGTTACTTGGGGTACCTGTGTGATCATGCTTGGATGTTGCTGAGGACACCTAACTAGGGTAGTCTGTGTTAAAATCACTTGAGAAAATGATACACAGAGCAGTAGTCAACGAGGGTTCTTCGATTTACTGATTTTCTGCACTGTTATTGTCGCCACAGCTTAACACCGATAAAAATCGATTACTGCCTATGATTATTAATCGATCTTCATCGACTTTCGATTGTTTCGATTGAGACCACTGGACCCAGCAACCATTTGACAATTCTTAAGAGGAAATTTCACCTAGGATAAACACATTTTCGAAGAGGCTTTCAGTCAGTGAAAAAAAGTTTATCTAACACAAACCTTTGTGGCTTCTTCCTGACCATCAGCTTGACAACATTTTCGGCAATTCTGTTCTAGCGAAAGTTCAGACGTGAGATTAAAAGGTTTTAACTCGTCACACGAACTACAGATGAGATTCACTGAAAATCCTAAGTCTCTGCATTCTTCCGGTGTTAATTCTGAGATAGTAAACTGAAAAAGGGTCAAGAAAATGGACAGAAAAGGCGAAATATAAGTCTTCCAATCCATTTCTAACAACTCACTAAAGCGCCTGAAAGTTATACTCGATACAAGTCTCCCAGCGGTCTAATTTGAGGCGGCGTAGCCGAGTGCTGGACTTGCAACCGGTGTCCCGGGTTCAAGTCCTCCACCCTGCCACTCACTGGATTTGTCCTCGGTTGCCCCTAGTTCCACTCCTCGGCTGCGCTCTGTAAATAGTCCACTGGTCTGCCTCACGCCAGTGAGGATTTTTAAGCACTTACTTAGTCTACATTGTGGCTCAAAAGCCCCTATGGGGGAGCTTCAATTAACGTATATTATTATTATTATTATTATTATATTATTATTTGATCGAGGTTGGAAGAGTTACTAGTAAACTCAAGTGCACCCGATAAACCCATAAAAAAAACACGACCAGCCAATCAGGAAAGACTATTAGCTTACCCATTGAACAAGAAATCCGGTGTGAATGACGAGCCAATTACGATCAAGAACCAGCCCACGTGGGAAATATCATAGTAGACCATAGTACAGTTTGTTGAGGCGCTACAGTTCAGCCGAGGAAAGATGGCGGTATTTACACTTAATTCTTGATGAGATAAAAATTAGCGGGTTCGGTCTTATAAGTACAAAAGTCGGAAAAAAATGTTTAAATATAGTTGCAGCAGACGTTTCCGACGCAAATCAGTGTTAAACCCTTGAAATGGGTCGGCTGCGGAAGGAAACCCTTGAAATTCTGCCAACCAATCAACAAAGAGTAGGAGCTTCCTGGTTCATTATGAACCCTGGCGCAGGTTTCAAACTCTTCACTCGACTTTTGACAAACAAGAAGGCGACCATAGTTTTGTATATAAGGCAGATCTGTATTTTTGCTATAACTCGCTTTATCTACGACCAAAAAGTATTCAGTAACGTCTCAGGCTGCTGGAAACGGAATGAAAAAGACTGACACACAATGTAAGTGTTCTTTAGTTCTTTATTGACTTCTGTTTTTAGTTACCTACCCCGGTATGTTAAGATAACGTGTTCCCGGCTACCTTTAGTCATGTTCAAGATGTAAGTCCTTTAATTTTTCCTTTATTATTTTATGACTCAGAATACCTCGTGAATATCTAAACTTAAAAAGTTTTTTTTTTGTTTGCGGTCGTAATTTTCAGTGGAGTGCAAGGGAAATCTTTCAGAAGAATTGACTGAATTGTCGCTCCCAAATCAAGCACATGGTTTCACTCTTACTGTTGACGACCCTCGCGATTTTTCAACAACAAAAACGACAACATCTCCAGGTAAGCATCTATCTACCTTTGAGCATCTATCTCTAACTTATAGGAATTATCACTGATTTTTCGCCGGAATTTCCTTTAAACTTTAATGCGCATGCAACGCTTGTCTAAAGAAAATTTTTGTATGACGAACTTAATAAATGAAAGGCTCTCCCAAAAATTTTCAAACAGCATGTTTAGCAAAAATTATCCTAGTTAATTAGCCTGTACTGAAAATTTTACTTCGTTTCGGAATGAAATTCATTCTTTTCAAATAAAATTTCCTTAAGGAAAAAGCTTGCGAAGGACTATGCTTGACATCTGGCGCGAAATGGTTTTCTGACCCTTTTTTTGCAAAGTTAAATGCTTCCTTTCTCGAAAAAAAAAAAAGCTTAATTTATGACGCAAAAGTTTCAAACAGCATGTTTAGCAAGGATTGTCCTACTTGATTAAACCTATTTTTCAAATTTTTCTTCGTTTCGGTATTAAATTTACTCTTTCCAAATAAAATTTTCACATAGAAAAAGCTTGCGGAGGACCGTGCTTAAAATTTGGCGCGAAGTGGTTTCTGATCCCTTTTTTTTTGGCAAAGAAACTGCTTCCTTTCTTGAAAAAAAAATCGGCTTAATTTATGATCCAAAACTTTTCAAATATCATGTTAAGCAAAAATTATCCTACTTGATTCACCAATATTGAATTTTTTTTTTTTGCCCTTTCGGAATGAAATCCACTCTTTCCAAATCAACTTTCCCCATAGAAAAAGTTTGCGAAGGACAGTGCTTGAAATTTGGCGCGAAACGGTTTTCTGACCCATTTTTAGCAAAGGAAACTGTTTTAACTATATGAAAAAATTGGCTTAATTTATGGTCCAAACATTTTCAAACAGGATGTTTAGTAAAAATTATCCTACTTGATTTTCTATATTGTAAATTTGACTGCGTTTCGAAATTTAATTCACTCTTTCCAAATCAAATTTCCGCAAAGAAAAAGCTTCCGAAGGACCGTGCCTAAAGTTTGGCGCGAAGTGGTTTTCTGACTCTTTTTTCCCGCAAAGAAAATGCTTCCTTTCTCCAAAAAAACAGCTTAATTTGACCGTTAGTTTCTCTATTTTCTACATTACTCTCCTCTTTTAGAATCAATTTTTTTTTTCACAAAATTATTGAAATTCTAGTTTTTTAATTTGGCGGGAAAGGTTTTCAGGTAACGAGGTAACGAAATAATTTTTGGGGAACAGTTTTCAGTTTAAACCATCCTGAATCTATCATGAAACGTTTCTGTCGTCTCGAAGGGAAAAAAAAATTAATGACCTTTGTTTTTATCATCGTAAAAAAAAATCCTGATATCATCTCAAAGTTCAAATTTTTTGTTACGCATCCTGTACTCCTAAAATACTGTAGCTCGCTTTAAATTCTTTTGCGTTTATTCTAGTTCCTTTTTACTCGAACAATTGCGAACAGTTTCATTAGGGTTTTCATGAATACTCAAAACTGGAGAGCAAGCCTCTTGTTACATTTGCTAACTTCTATCAGCTGCGAGTTTTGTAAAAAAATAGCATGCGAACATGAAGTGTATTTTTGATTGAAACTTTTTCAAAGCTTCTTTGTTACGCTACGCGTTTTGATTGCAACTTTGCTTCACATTTGGTAGCAAAACTCTTAATCAAGTTCGCGAAACTTCTCTGTAATTTGTTAGCTCTAAATTTAGCTGAGCTCCACTCGAGAATTACACATGTGATTGATAGGGAGTTAGGTTGGTTTTCAATGCTTCCTTGTTACGCTACGCGCTTTACATTTTTTGGGATCGTTCTTCCGCCAGACATAGAATCCTAAGTTTAATCCATGTAAAATTGTTGAAATGATTTAAGCATATCAAACTAGAAAGTGGTAAATTAACATTGAAACTTTACTGAAATTCTAAATGCTTTGCAAGGCATAATACACCAACAGTTCTTTGTTTCTAACATTCAAATGGTTTATCTCATCTCATTATGCACTGTTTATGACCCTTATAAATGGTTTATCGAACATAAGCGCGCTAAAAATATAATTCATCTGTTAAATTGGCCTTAAAATTAAAGTGCATAGATTTGTGGCTAAGTCATTACAAATGCAAACTCTTGAAGACCCTGATATCTTTAAACAGGTCTCATTTATCAGTCAATATTGGTTAAGAAAACCATTTTTCTTTACATTTTCAGCCTCACTTCACTTCAATTGGAGGGCAGATCTTTAATGTGCCATCCATAACAAGCAGCCACTCCACAATCCATCCACAGGAATGACCTAACCACTATGGAGGAGTGCAGTCAATCTGAGTCAATAGCCCACTTCAGTGCAGAATTGATCAACCTTGCTCCTGATGAGACAGGTCCACAGTTAAAAGTGAAATAGATCCGCCATCCTCACCCAAGAGTCCACTCCAGTGTTGACCTTCCCAAACAAGTGTTCTCATCTTGGCTCAAATCAGACACAACCCTGATGACAAATCAAGGCGGTGGTTAGTGAAATTGGGACGGGATGGGAGGGAAGATAGAGCTCTGGTTGGGCCTTACAAAGCACACATGCATACACTTTCGGAAGAAGTCCATGTACTTCTGGTTCGGCTTAACATAATTTTTAGTTAATTTAGTTAATGGACCCCTGGGGAAGGGATGGGTCCTTCCCTTTTCCTTTTTCTAGTAGGGTTGCTTTTCAGGTTTATTCGACTGGCAAACGGACATTTGAACTGTGGCACATTTTATTCGGCTTCGATTTGCTTCATTTTGGTTTAAGTTTAACTTCACATTGGCACGATTTCAACTCTGGCTTGGACACATTTCGACTTCCTAGGACACATGCCTGCATTGATGTCGCATTTGACTCCCTGCTCAGTTGCGCCCAGGTCAATTATTTATCTTTTACATTTCACTTAACAGACTTCACACTGATAAGTGAAATATTCTTGGTAAGGTTCAACCAGATAATAACTTTTAATCCATAAAACCTAAACATTGAAAGAGTTTGGTTTTCACCGCGCCATTCTAGTTTAGTGGTCTATTCTAAGTAAGAACAATTCATCAGTTGTCCAAGGTTAGGATTCTAGGTACATATATAACCTCATGCCTTTATTTCTGCATTGCAGGCTTAGAATTAGCAAAACATTCCAAAACTGAGCTGATAAAAAATTTGGAGAGGATTTTTTTTGTAATCATTTTTTCCAGATTAATTTGAGGAAGTCTTGAAGGAAAAAAAAACAGTGAAGGAGAGAAATTCAAAGGCATGAGGGATAGGGACTATGGGACAATGCACACACCTCAGAATAGTTTTTTTTTCTTAATCATTGGAGAATCAGCCAATCAAAAAGAGGAGGATATATAGTCAAGCAGTTACCTTAAAGATACAGGCAGTTAGCATACTGATAGCCTTATGCAGTGGCAGGTAGAGGGGAGAATTTTGGTCACTAAGGCAATGTTGACACTTAGTTCATCACAGGTGTCTTCTTGTCAATCTTGCCTGGTGGTAGAAATCACCTCAATTCTAGATGTTCAACGGGTAATCTTAAAAGAAACAACCTATGGTAGACTAGTAATAGGTACATGTGCAAGGAGCTTCAAGACGACGACAAGCATGGATGCCTGGCACAAGATCATTCTAGTTTTTTGGTGCCCAGAGAATTGAAGGATTTTGACAAGTATTGCTCTGGACTGAAGCTTTAGTACATGCATTAGTTGCCAACCAGAAATTATGATGGTTGCCTTAAAAGAGGTTTTAAGCCTTAAGGCATGATCTCTTTTGCTATAACCCTCCAGTGTGTAGAGCTGTTAATAGCTATTCAAATTATTATTCCTGCCTAATTAATGGAACGTTAATGGAATGTTAGCTCTTTGAGATCTCTCCTGCCAAATTGTTTTTGGCAAAGCTTATAAATAAATAAAATAAATAATCCAATGTAATCTTTTCGTTATCATGGGTAATGCCACTATCTTGTCTCATTGTCTGCATGAAGTGCTCCTTGCCAAAATTTCGCTCTGCCACTCCTTTTACCTAATATTTAAGAACAACGATGGAATAAAGAAATAAGATAGACAACTGATGAAAGAAAACTTTCGACTGATGACTGAAGCAAGAACACAGAATAATGAAGAGATAGAAGTTAAGGGAAAAGAAAGAATGAGGAAAGGAAATTGAAAACAGAAGATCATCGAGTAAGGAAGAAAATAAAAGAGAAAGGGCAGAATAACTAAGAAATGAGACAAAAGAGGGAAGATAAATGACAATTGAGAAGTAATAATGAAGACTAAAGAATGAGGACAAAAGTGTGAAGAAAAAGAGAACAGTAATGACACAGGACTAAAGAAAAGACTATAGAAAGCTGAGGAAAGAAGACAGAAGTAAAGAAAAAGGAAAGGAAAATGAGGAAAAAAGAAGACAAAAAGACTGAAGACAGAAAAAGGAAGACTTGGAGCTGCAAATATATGACAAAAGAATAGAAGAAAGAATATAGAAGAAAACATATTGAAGCAAGAGAACGAAGACTGAAAACAGAAGAAAGAAAACTTAAGACAAAGAAAAAAGACTGACCAAAGAAAAAAGAACACTGGGAAGGGAAAAGAGGAGACTAAGACCCAACCCTAAACCTAACCCTTAACCCTAGGAGGAGGTTGACTAAAGGAGAAAGATGATTGATAGCGGAAATGAACAAGACTGAGAACTTATGAAGGAGGTCTTAACACAGAGGAAAGAAGACTAATGACAAAAGAAGGAAGACAAAGAACAATTGCCAGAGGACTAAGAACAAAAGAAAGAAGACTTAAGACAAAACAAAGAAGATATAGAAAAGAAGAAAGAATGAGGAAAAAGAAGGCTTGAATCAGAAGAAAAAAAGTGAAAGAAAAGAAAAAAGACTGGAAATAAAAATGAAGGCAGGACAGAGGAAAGAGGATTGAAGACTGAAGACAGAAGAAACAGGTCTAAAGACTAAAGACAGAAGGAAGAAAATAGCACAGAGAACAGAGGAATGAGAACACAAGAAAGAAGGATGGGTACAAAACAAGGAGGATATAAAAAAGAAGGCTTGGATCAGAAGAAAGAAGACAGAGGAAAGAAAAAAGAAGACTGGAAATGAAAATGAAGGCAGGACAGAGGAAAGAGGACTTAAGACTGAAGAAAGAAGAAACAGGTCAAAAGACTAAAGGCAGAAGAAAGAAATTAGAACAGAAAACAGAGGAATGACAGCAGAAGAAAGAAGACTGAAGACAACACAAAAAAGACATAAGAAAAGAAAAAAGACTGAGGAAAAGAAGGTTTGGATCAAAAGAACAAAGAGAGAGGACAGAAAAAAAGAAGATTGGAAATAAAAAGGAAGGCAGGACAGAGGAAAGAGGATTGAAGACAGAAGAAACAGGTCTAAAGACTAAAGACAGAAGGAAGAAAATAGCACAGAAAACAGAGGAATGAGAACACAAAAAAGAAGACTGAAGACAAAGCAAAGAAGGTATAAAAAAGAAGAAAGACTGAGGAAAAGAAAGCTTGGATAAAAAAAAAGACAGAGAAAAGAAAAAAGAAGACTTGGAAATAAAAATGAAGACAGGATAGAGGAAAGAGGATTTAAGACTGAAATAGAAGAAATAGGTCTAAAGACTGAAGACAGAAAAAAGAAAACAACAAAACAGAAGAATGAGAACAGAAGAAGCAAGACTGAAGACAAAACAAAGTAGATTTAGAAAAGAAAAAGACTGAGGGAAGAAAAGGTTTGGATCAAAAGAAAGGAGACTAAGGACAGAGAAATGAAGACTAGAAGTAAAAATTAGAAAGGACATGGAAAGAGAACTAAAGACAGAAGAAAGAAGAGAGAACAGAAAACAGAGGAATGAAAATAAAAGAAAGACGACTGAGGACAGAAAAAAATGGAAATAATAATGAAGAGAAGACAGAGGAAGGAGGTTTGAAAACAGAAGAAATACAACATAGAACAGAAAACAAAGGAAAGAGAAGAGAAAAAAAAGAGGACTTAAAAGAAAAAGACATAGAATAAAAGAAAGAAGAGGAGAGAGAAAATGAAGACTGGAAATAAAAATGAAGATGGGACAGGGAAAACAGGACTGAAGACTGAAGTCAGAAGAAATAAGACAAGGAACAGAAACCAGAGGAATGAGTACAGAAGTAAGAGGACTTAAGAAAAAATGAAAAAGAGTCTGAAATAGAAAAGAAGAAGACTGAGGACAGAAAATGAAGGATGAGATCAGAGTAAAAGAAGACCAAGGACAGACAAACAGAACACTGGAAATAAAGAATGAAGACACAAATTTAAAGTGGAAAGAGGACTGAAGACCAGAGAGAGAAGAAAGGAGACAGTGAACAGAAAATAGAGGAAGGAGAACAGAATAAGGAGGACTGAAGACAAAAGAAATAAGAAATGGATAGGGAGAAAAAAATCTAAGCACAGATAAAAGATGGCTTGGATCAGAAGAAAGAAGACTGAGAACAGAAAAATGAAGACTGGAAATGAAGAATGAGGACAGGACAGTGGAAAAAGGACAAAAGAACAGAGACTTGTGACAGAGGAAAAAAGAAATGAGACTGCATGGAGACTGAGGAAAGAAAACTGACATCAGAAGACTGAGAATAGAAGAAAGAAAACTGAGGACAGAAGAAATATGCATGAAAATAATAAATGAAGACTGAAAAGTAGAAAGAAGACTGCATACTGAAGACAGAAGGGGAAAGACTGAAATCAGAAGGGAGATAACCGAAGGCAGAAGGGAAAAGACTGAAGGCAGAAGAAGACTTACGATGGAAAAGAAGAATGAAAAAAACAAAGACTTGACAAAGAGGAAAGTAGACTGAGAATAACAGACAACTGAGAGCATAGTAAAGAGGACTGAAGACTGAAGAAGGAATATTAAAGACAAAAGTAAGAAGATAAAGAACAGAAAACAGGAGAATGAGAAGAGAAGAAAGAAGACTCAAGACAGCAGAAAGCAGATTGAGAACAGAAAGAAGACAGAGAAATGATTAGACTCAACACAGAAGAAAGAACACTACTAATGATGACTGAAGAGCGAAGACAACACAACAGAAAGATGACTGAAGATAAATGGAATAACATTGAGAAAAGAGGACAGAATGACAAAGATTGACTATGCAGAGAGAAGACTGACGACAGCAATTTGAAAACTGAAGACTGAAGAGAAAAGACTGAAGACAGAAGAGAAGAAAACAAGAATTTGATGCGGAATTGAGAGATTTAAACAAAAAGATGATACTCCTAATCATTTGATTTAAGGCATTATCAGCAATTCTGCTATTCTGCATCACTGCTCTTCTTCCTCCGCTTATGACTTAACACTATTGCTAAATGTAACTGAAGTGTATGTCTAGCAACTGCTTGTTGATAGGCCATTATTCCTGGGATGAAAGGCTGAATGTGAGTGCCATAAGGTAGGTTATACAATCTGTTCCAAGGTATGTGGAGAGTGCAATCTGTATGTTATATCCAACACAAAGCAACATCAGAACTCAATCTTCACTCAGTACAGTTTGCACAATGATGACTCCTATTGCATTGGCTTCTGGAATACTTCTACTTTTTAAAAATTTTGTTTTTTTTCATATTTGGTTGATGAGTAAAACTGTTTTTGCACATCCTTTCCCAAGAGAAATGTGAGGCTTGAAACTTGATGTGTTCTTGTTGCGTGATATAACAAACAGTTGCCTTAGTTAAGTAACTTTAAGTTTCACTTTCTGTTTTCGATTCTTTCACATTCCATCCTCAATTGCGATCTTTCAAGCTATTGGCACAATAAAGCTTGGTATCTACATTTGTTTGATAGCAGGCAAATCTTGGAAATGTGAATGGTTCAGAGGGCCCTGGGTGTTCCAGGACACAGGGACACTCTCGGCTTTTCGTGACCACAAAATTTTTAGTGTAGGAGCGCACTCCCCAACCATAGATTATTTTAGGTCCTGTGGATTTCAATCATGTTTGTAAAACAGTGTTGTTATAACTGAAAAGCATAGTAGATACATCCATCAAAGAATGGTACGGCTCATTTTCGGGAGCATTAGAGAAGTAAAGAAGACAGCAAGAAGTCATGAAGAGAAAGGACTATAATATTATTGTAACTAAAATATAATAAAATTTAATATTTCAAATAGAAAATAATAAACTACAAAACATTGTTGTCTGTTTGCCAATTCTTACTGGTTAAGCTTTTATTTTACACTAAACTTTATAACGCTAACCAGTGAGATTGTTCCATTTCAGCAATATAAATTTTTATCTTCAACAGGTGTATATTTTGTCTGCAGCCCACTTTCGGGGGCACAAAAATTGAATTGTACATTTTCGGGGACTGAAAAATTATTTCCATATGAAAAAGTTGTTGTAAGATGTGAGTTCATTCATTCAATAAAAGGCAAAAACATGATGGATTGGTTTATTTTATCAAAACAATAACTATACTAACAATAGGAGTAACTTCTTTTGCAGCTTACTAACAAAAGAATTTTATTTCAGGACACTATATGTTGTAAGGAATTTAATTCCTTACAACATATTCTTCATAAAAGATACATTGCATGAGTTCTTTTTTTTAACAATTTCATAGCTTAAAGCAGATTGCTAATCACTTTCTCTTTTCTTTTTCAGAAATATTTTGCCTTCATTATTGCAAGTCTAACACAATGTTTTGCAGATAAGGAGATCCAAGGGTTAAAAGCTGTACCTACATTTAGCTTAAAAGAAAAGGTTGATCTAATCTTGTAGCAACTTCATTTTGCAGGTTTGCCTTGTGTACAGCTCAACCATCAATAGATATTAATATCATTGAATCATGTCCTTCAACAAGAAAATAGGTCGGTATGCTTATTGGAAAACAGCCATCAAGTTGACTGTGTTACTAACAGTTTCTTGTAGATGTTCAACCGAAAAAAGTCATTGCATGGAACAGGAACCAAGATAAATCTTTCAAAATAATGCTGATTGATGCAGAAACATTAACCAAGACCTTACAGATGCCTACCGTCTCGAAGTACAAAAAGCTATTAATACAAGAGGAGAGAAACAGCCAGATCACCCAGGTAACAATGCCACAATTTTTTTCTCAATAACAATTACTGCAATTTAGTAGTTTTAAGAGAGCACACTAAAGATGGTAAGAGAAATCAAATCATGCTTTCATACTCACAAATTCATGTACTTTAGATAACAATGGGAGGTCTTTAATCAGCAAAAAATGCTACTAACACTAAAGTACAGTTAGAGTAGGAAGTATTCCTACCATATTGGGAGGGTCATTGGCTTGAGAGGGAGAAGAGGGGGGGTGGGGTGGTTAAGCACTGAAAGGAAATGCCTTGGACCTTCAGGGAGGAGAGTCACTGAACATAATTGAACAACCAAACAAAATTCTATGGAAAGGGTATGGATACTTCCTGGAACATAAATTGGCAAGCTACAAACTCATCACAAACTACTGACGTATTCTTCTGTCTTGTTCTTGCAAAGATAACAACAAAAAGTACCTGTCAGACCAAACAACTGGTATGCAAGTGCTACTTAGGAATCCTGGCGAAGGAGTGGCAACTAAATGAGATTTAAATTCAAGATGTCCAGAGCTATATGACTGTGATGCAACCGAAAAAAAGAATTGACAGTGGTTTCATCCTGTGAATAATTCACTTTTTTGTGTTTTTTTAAGCCAAGAATAGTAAATAAATAGAGGCCAACAGGACCACTAAAGAGCTACAGCAGCAGCTGATATATGCAACTATATTCTAAAAGTTATAACATCTGGTATTACATTAAAACTCTTATAGGGAGAGGATAGGATAGTCCAACTTATTGAAAAGCAAAATGATGCAGAAATATCAATTTCAGTCTCAAGTCACTTATGAGTGGAGTACTATAATTACAAATATCTTAGTCGTAATAATTATTGCATTTCTAATCAGTGATTTCTAATCTCTCTTCCTTGCAGGATTTATAACTTCAGTGTCACATTGGACTGAGATATACAGTTTGAAATCTTGTTGAGACTCTACAACACATTCTAGATTTCCATCTTCAACAGAGTCTTATATGGACCTGACCATCCAGCATTTTTTGAAAAAAAATTGTGAATTTTCAAGAGATGTTGGCTTACACTCTTAGCAGATCTTTTGGTAAATCCTATGATCCCCTAGGAGTCACAAAACAAACTTTTATTTGAATGGATTTCTGAATAAGCAGCTAACATGATTTCCTGTGGAATCACCTTTCAAAAGTAACCCTAGACTGAATCTCATCATCATTATTATTACCATCATTAAATTATTATTATCATTATTACTAAATCTATAAGAGTTTATTGCCCAGCTAAAAATTAACTATTTAAACAAAAGCTTTGGTTAAAAAATAATCAAATTCAAATAAACAAAAAAAATTAATTTTAATTCAATTAAATAAGTATAAATGTCTTGGGTGAACATGAAAGAATCTCAGAAAATATGTTAACTGCACAAACGTCATATCAAAGAACCTTGAAAAAGTCTAATGAGAACTGATGTTTTGCCATAATCTTACAGGAACTTCTAAGAATACGTCAAAATCAGGTAGGTATCTCAAAAGGACCTCATCAAGGATCTCAATATGAGAGCCGGAAAGATTCAAGAAGTGTTTTAGAACATTTCTAATGCAGGCAAAGCAAACTAAGACTCACACAAGAAGTTGTGAGATCTTAAGAAGATTCTTAGAATTTTGTAATCTTTCAACATGATTTCAAACTGACAATTAATAGCATCCTGAGGGATCAAGAACAAGAAATGGAACGACCATAGAAGGAAGATGAGTTAGCAGAGGGAGAAGAAACCCAGAAATGCATTACAGGGAACATGTCTACAACTGAAGGTAAACATTTCCTAAATCCACATTCCATGTCATGACACATACACTTCAATCTTTACCCAGAAGATCCACCTTTTACAACACTTACAAGATCATATTTATTATTTTTCTTTTGTCTCCGGTATATCAGTATGAATAAACTTCATTACAAGATTACACACCATCTGAAACTGATTTTTCAAAATTCATTGTTTCAGAATCACAAAGCAGGAATGAAGCTGTTGGAAGTTTGACATAGCTCAAGCAACCATGCACCTAAATTGAAGAGGATGATGCTGCCTACCAAAGGAACATTCCTTCTGTTGGTAATTTGATATTAAAATTAACAGATTGAAGTTGAATTGAAAATGATGAAACAGTGGCCTGAGCTCTTACCTTTTTAGTACTCTTCATCCTAGGCCAGAGTTTATTTTCCTCCAGGAGATAAGTTACAACTTACAGAACTAACAACGCTGATCAATTGTCCTCTGTTACCTCAATCTGTGGATGGAACATTCGAGTCACCTAGTTGTCAGAGGAGAAAACAGCTGCAAGGTATGGAGATCTATTTTGCTATATCTCATAAAAGAAATTAAAGGGAGGAAGAGTGGGGATTGGTGAAAAGAAATAAAACTTCCTTTACCATCAAGTAAAAGGATAACTTAACTAGGACAGCTTGCTTACAGTAACACAAGTGTTTGGCTTTATTTGTAAAAGAGATAGCACTCCTTCACCTACAAATTGCAGCAATGGCATTTTCTAATAATTGTCCTCATTGCCATTTACAGGACTGATATCAAGAAACAACAGCGAAACTACATGACAGCCTGAAGCCACAACTCTTGTTTCTTGAAGATAACTGTGTTGAGTATGCTGCAAGTTTGGAAGAACTGGTCAGAAGATGAAAAGACTTTCTACATTTGTGCTGGAAAGAAGTATCATTTTCAGAGAACTTACCAACAGTTGTAATAACAAAAGACATAAATCAAGATGAACTGGAAAAGACAAGTGAGTTTCCATAAACATTGAACTCTTAAGGACATTTGCAGTTGCTTCTGCTGCACATTCTCATTGCAAGTGGTGGAAGTGAAGCCTGCTTGCCCTTTCACTCCCATGGGTGACCAAGACAGAATTTCTCATTACATATCAAGCAGACAAGTGATGAGAATAAGGAAAAAGAAAATCAGGGGATTTATCAGTTGATCCAATACCAAATTCTCCAAACTAACATCATAAGAACTGTATGGCAGATGGTATGGAGAACTATCAGTGATATCTTAGGTCGGAGTGAAAGGGTTAAGAACTTTGGATCAAATTGTGAAGTTAAAATAATAATATTACAAAAAAAGTTAGTTTAGTGGCTATAAGAATATAATAATATTAATTTCAAAGATCGAAAAAAAAAATTTATTAACAACCTCTGTGAATTATATTTCTCATGGAGCATGGTATAAACCATTTGAAAATATCAATAATACCCTTTTTGATGAAAATGCTGATGTCCTTCCCCCCTTCCCCCCCCCCTTCTCAATGGAGTGCCACTCAACTTATGATAAGTGCCAAGTACAGCTGTCAGGGTTATGCATGAGTTGCTACATTAAACAGTCCTCGACCCTTCAATCAACAACAAGGATTATATCTTCTTTTATGAGTACATGTTGCAAAATTCCCCGCAGTTATTCAACATTAATAGGTGTCCCTCAGATCATGAGAACATATCAGGAAATTCTTAGCAGTTTTTCAGTTTGAAATCATTTAAACAATAACAGGGATAAGTATATACCACACAGGTGAATACTGCTTTTCGCTTGTGCTGATTGGCTGGTTTGGAGGTAATTAGCAAGTATTATTCATCTCCAAGCAGCCAAGGAGACAAAATCGTGCTCAACAATTTGATTTCTGACCAATTTTTTGGTATATTGACAGAAAAACTACCTTTTTTTTATTTCTGTGTGGTATTTACTAAAACAATTATGCAACTTAGTGTCAGTGAAAGTGGTGGATATTTACCTCACTGCCCCATGGCTTAGTAAATATGCACCACTGTTCACCTCCACTTAGGTGAATAATATTAACTATGTGCCCTTCAGCTCATGAATTAATTCCCCATTAAAAGTTAATTAGCTTTTGGAAAGTTTATGCTTTGGACAATAACATCTTTTTGAGCCTTTATTCATGCATAACAAAGAGAGCTGTACATCATTTTGAGGGTTATATTTAAACAAATTCGAGCAGGGAGATCCAAACCAATTGATGAGGAATGTGATAACTAACAGAGGCTGTGAAATAAAAAAAACTGTTTTTGAGTATCACCAGTACTAGTTGTGAGGAAGATTTGTGAAGACCACAACAAAATTCAGTCATCTCAATCAAGCATTACTTAAAAGTGCATTTTAAATCTAATTAACAAATTTGTAGAAAATTAATATTGACGACTGAATTAGAAGGTGTGCCTTGAGCAGTTCTCAGGAAAATAAGGATACTCTATGTTGGTCAGTCTCAAGCATCAACTTAGTCTAAAAATATTTTTCTAGTTACATAATGTGTCTGCCAATAGTTAGTTGAACCTTTTCCTCAGGGTATTGTGCTGCTGCTATAGTTGAGGAATACGTTTCCACCTATTTATTTACCACATCTGTTGAGTGGGGGTTTTTTTTGGTGGTTTTGCGTATCTGGCGTAGCACAGCTTAATCAGAATTGAGAAATTTTCCATTGAGTGTGAAAAGTAATGCAAGAGATATGCAAATTAGTTTTGTTTTCCTTCACTTTGTAATTAATATAGAAAATTGGCACCACCATTTTAACCAGTCAGATACAAAACTACAGCTGATTGAGAGTTGGTCACTTGTATCTTTTCTGCACTCATTTTGTAACTTAAATGTATGGGTAGAAAAAATTGCTGATCTTTTGTGATTAAGTAATGGTAAAGTCAAATAAAAGTATGTATCAGAGGCAGAATATTATCTGTTGTTGAAAATTCTCTTTGAGTAGCTTAGTGCAATTTCAAGCGAGTGTCATGAAACTTAAGTGACCCAAAGAAATCAAAAGGACAACTGCTTCACTTTTTCACAATTTTCCAAGGGAGCAATTGTCCCTATAAGAAGTTATAACACCCCCACCCTTCCCTCAAGAAGGTGATGCAGGCAACATGTCAATAGACAGCTACGTGGTCGAAATTCTCACTCTTTGCCAGCAATAAACTTGAGAGCTTTGGTGAAATGTTTCCAATTCCTGAGCCTGCGGCAATAAATTTTTTATTTTTGGTCGCAGAAATGGGTGGAGAACAATAATATTTTCTTGTACAGTGCAGTAGTGTGTGTAGCTATGGAATCAATATTGTCTCGATATACCACTAGATTCTCATAGCTACCACACAATGAAAAATGAAAGGTACTAGCTGAGTTCGGAGAATTTGCATTTACATGCTTTAGTCCATCATTCTCCTTTCGTTTATGTTTTACATTAAACTTTGAATCTTCTCAAATTTGATGAGCCAAATTGAATGAGCATGACAAAAACCACGATAGCTTCCTTGACCTTGACATTTTGGGATGGCAAGTACTTCTCTTTCAAGAAAATGATAAGTAATGGTTGTTTGGGAGGAAAAAGTCTCACCCAGCCGATCCAAATTGAATGGCGACTCTAAAAATTGTTAAATATTCGGCAAGAGTACCATATAACCCCATATATTAATTATGCATTCAGTCTTTGTTCAATTAAAACAATAGCAATAACAATAGAACTCCGCAGAGACTAGTAGTCTTTGTTTTCAAAATTCACATTTTTTTTTTAAGTCTTTTTTGAAACAGGGTAAATTTGGCGCGTTTTGGCTTTGCAAAACGGAAAACTAAAGTAATTTTCCAGAGGTTTTTAATTTTGAAATATAACTGAATGTTCAGTTTCGCTTTGAAAGCGTAAAATTGGCCGGAAAATAACGTTAAGTCTACGGTCAGGCTTTGAAGTTTGTCAATGCAAAGTTTAAATAAATGTTGTGTCTTACCTGTTCTTGTGGTTTTGGTTGATTCTTTTATTATCCTTTCGTGTCCTAGTGATGAAAATTCTTCGTGAAGGCCGGTGCATACAGCGACGCAAAGAAACCTTTGTATCTAGTCTTTCTGGACTTCACAAAGTTGGGCGATGTGTTCGCTAATGTTTCCAAAGGGATCGTTTCCGTAGTGCTGACGCCACATATATTCTTGTAGGTAGCCATCGAAAAGTCCTTTGGATGTTCCTGTTTGGGGCAAACCTCGCTTGATTCCCCACCATGTATTTTCGATACCCTGTGTGTGCGCACCGGTGAATTCAGGCGCATTGAAGCCATTCCATCGCAACCCTTTTTTGAACATCGCCACTCATACCCGTATCGCGATGAAGCACTTCGCGTCCAGCTAAGTTCATTGCTGCACCCAGCTCGAGGACATTTTACCGACTTCACAAGCAGTTTGTGATCCTTACACCACTGTATGCACCGGTCGTGATCCAATAATATTCGAGAAAGTCGAATAAAGTTCAGTCTCCCCATCTCCGAGTTGTTGCTCTTCTCCTTCCTTCTATCTTCTTCTTTCGTTGATGTTATTAGAAAGAGGTATGAATAAATTTTGTTTTCTATGTGGTATTTGGCCAATCATAGAGAAGAAGAAATGCATTCTTTAGTGCAAAGGGGGACCTTTGGTGCATTATATCAATGCACATATTGTTATGAAAATTTTTTTACTCAAAGGTAAAAGAAAATGTAGCTTTTGGAGAGGAACTCCTAACTGGTTTGCGTAGCATAGTGGTAAAGCTATGGTTTGATAATTGTCTGATAATAGCGCGTTGTCTGAGGAGCAATGGTTCAAGGCTCAGCAGAACTGCCAAGAAGGTAAAAAGGAAAGGAAAGAAAAAAAAAAACCGAGGAGAAGTTAGGAACGAAGGGGAGAAGGGAGAGGAACGTGAGAAAGGAATGGAGACGAAAAAGCTGCTTTCAATCAATTTCTCTTTTATTGAAGCAGTAAGTACTTATTACTAATGTATATATGCTAAACCCGTGGGAATAAGTCATTGTCTTAAAAACAATGGGGTGCATACATAATTAATGAAATTGAATGTAAAATTAATGTATGGGGTTATATGGTACTCTTTCCAAATATTCTTTTACTCTTTGGGTTAATTGGTCCTAACTTTGCTTCAATAGTCTTATCAGAATTCATGAGAGCACTTAAATTGAAACGAGGCAACAAGGACCAATTTGAAAGAGAGTGAAAACAATGATCTATTTGGTTCTTTAGTTTTGGGGCTCGCGCGATAACATGGGCTATCGATCAAATTATGAAGTAAAATTGTGTGGAATACCAACCTTTCTGTTGCCGATCATAACATGGCACTTCTCCGTGCAAGGACTGTGTCGCCAACTTATTTTAACTCTTTGTTACTTATCAAATGGATGAGTTGTGAGGAACTTCTTTACCAAACCAAATTCACCCTCAGAGTTACATAGCCTTCAGGCTGCAAGCTGACACGCGCGGGCTCGCAGAGTGCGGGCGTGCACGATCTCTTCGCTGCCAGTCCTTCTCGTTCAGCTGAACTGGCTTCCCACTTCTAAGAAGCTTACCACCCTGTGTGTGTCTTGACACTGGAATTCGAAACATGCGGTCGTGATTCGGAAAAAAAACAGAGTTTGCAACTTTTAGTATAGATTAGAGGCTATGAAATAATTATTTAAAAAAAAACCATCAACCAACTGGCACTTGTCCAACCCCCATTTTATGATGGAAAGCCAATTTCTCTTTGGAAAATTTTCCCACTTCCCATCAATATCAGGCTTCAATATGATAAAAAAATTTTTCTATGAAATGACTTTGCACCTTCTGTGACTATTTTTATATGAGTGTCGAGACCCCCTTCACCCTCGTCTGACCAGGAAAGAAATTTGGCCGTGTTACTACTGGGAACTACTTAAAAGTGAAAGAGTGAAAGACGCTACGAAAGGAAGAACATTTATTTTCATCATCTTACTTTTGTTTTTCGATGAGTTATCTTCTTATTACGATGGGAAAGCGCTGATGTCATCGTCAGTAAAGATGACCAAAGATTCATCACGTAAACAGAGTGTTTCATCTCTAGCTGAACTGTGTTTAAAGTCTTCTTTAAAATACCTTGAATCGTTTAAGATATGGGATGAACGATTAAATACCTTTCTACCTGAAGATATTTGTACAGCACTTATAAGTAAAAAGCTGAGTTCGGGACATTGTGATGATGAATTTGTGTCGACATATTTGGCTGACGTTAAGACAAGCAGGATTACGAAGGTCCACATGAGTGGGGCACGCATAACAGACCTTGGACTGGAATTCATTTCTCGTCATCCTCTGCGAGAAGTCGATATATCATATTGTGAAGTTTCAGAAAAAACCCTCGTCTCTTTGGCTAAATGCAGAAACACTCTGACTTCTTTAAAGATGATTCATTGCCGTCAAATCACTGAGTTTAAGGAACTCCGTCATTTGATTGGTCTTAAGAGTTTGGACGTTTCAGACACTTGGCTAGACGATCGAAATGGAACTCGATGTTTTGCAGATCTGGTCAATCTGCGAATGTTGAACTTGAGTGGAACAGAAATTGTTTCGCTGGATCCATTAAATACTCTGGCGATGCTCACAAGTCTCGACTTGTCGTTATGTAGGGAGATCGAAAGCATTAAACCATTGGAAAATATTCGAGGGTATGATTTGTTTTGTAATAATAAACACGAAAATGTCTTTAAAGGGTGATCAATTCTTTTTGAGTGTCTTTACCAGGTTGTCTCTCTGGACTGGACGCCTTGACTAGAGTGTGAACTTCATGGTGCTCCACAATCAACATTTTGGGACTAACATGGATAAAGATCCCATCTGCAAGGATAATAAAACTCTCCTGGTTGCTTCATGCAAAAATTCTATTGGGATGAGCAGTGTGCTCCGGAAGTACTGACCAGCAGCTGGCATTTTTAGCAACTACTTTTTTCTGAAGTGCTAGCTGCTTTAAATTATAAGCTAAAACAGTAAAGCTCTGTCTTGATTAACACTGGAAAAAAACAATAGATAAGAGCAAGGGGAATAGATGCCAGCAAAAAGATGCTTGTACCCTTTGGGCACAAGCACTCAAAAAGCTTAAGTTGTGCTAGCTATGCCTAAAACTTTTGGCATATGATATCATGATGAACTAATACTGATGAATTACCCAAATGTTAAATTAAAAATGAAACTCTGTCTTTCACCCTTTTTTGTTTTTAGGTCCCTTCAGTGGTTGTCTCTATATAATTGTAGAAAACTGTTTTCATCAAATCAGACATTACTAGAAAGCTTAGGGAACTTGACCAAACTGCAACATCTGGACTTATCAAAACACGATCCTGATGAAATAGTGGAAATGGAGGGATTCCTAAATTGTAGTGCAGTCTTGGTGAACAGACAATTTCTGGAACGATTACTACCATCTCTTCCAAATTTAGATTGGTTGGACCTTTCAGGTTTGGGTTTTGATTCTTCAATAATGTATAATCATTTTGATTGCAGACTTCTCTTACTAACCTCTTTAATCCCATTATGCTAAGCTCAGTTGGTGTCCCAGGTGTGGACTTGTGTCTTCAGATACAATGGATGTCTGATATTATTAACCATATTTACCTGTACAGAGTTGTCTTAATAAGCTGGCAACTGGTGCTTTCCACAGTCTACTCTGAAAAACACCCCGGCTATTCCAAATGCTTGTGGAAGCATGACATTATGCAGCTTACGTGTGGTTACTTAAAATCCGATTTTTTTTTTTTTATGGCAGGTAATGCCAAGTTCAGCTATAGGGACTTTGATCTCTTTAATCAGTACCGTTCAAAGATGCTGAGATTCTTGGGCCTGTTTGGGACAGAGATGTGCCTTTTTCATGAAATTCCTGCAGATGAGGCAAGTGTGAATATGTTATTGGACTAACATTTATAATGATGGGGGTAAGTTTCTAAACAAACTGTGGTGCTGCATCAGGTGGGGGAGTAGAACAAGGTAATTTTGGTTTTATCAACTAAATTGATAATGTAAATTGGCCACTCTACAGAGTTTCAAAGCTGACATTTCAAGCAATAACCCTTCGCCATTTGCTCTAACGCAGGGCTAACGCGTTAGAGCAAATGGCGTTAAGAGCGGCCAATTTACTTATATCAAATCAGCGGATAAAAACAAATTTACCTAACATTTGAAATTGCAAGATTTAATTTGATACAAGCAAAAGAAAACAGGTAAGAGGAGCAGCAGAGAGGGTGGCTCCTGGTCTAGTCTGAGGGACTTTTCAGTTGTGACTGTGGATGCTTTTATTTAAAAAAATAATAAACTTAATAAACTGGTCACATAAACAAACTCATGAAACTTAGTTAGAAGCAGCTGTTTCTCTGAATATGATATAAACATGGAGTCATGACTCGAATTGAATGCTCAAAGCCATCACTATTTTACTACTAGTTTGCCTTTTTGACTTGCAATACTCATCATCTAAGTGCAGTTAAATTTGACTCAAGTCTTAATGACATCAGATTTTGGTATATAAGCTCCTCTATCCCTAACTTAGGTCGTGATATAAGGATGTGCAGTAGATAACATGGAATTCCTTTTATTTTCATGGTGATAGGTGTCTGGAAGGAGGAATATGAAACAGGTCACCTTTTCTGTGTCAATTTATCATAAGAGACCTGAATTTCTGGTCAGGGCCCTGCAAGATTTGTTTAATTTCCTCAGTACAGATGGAGATGATGGCTTCAGTCCAAAGTTTGTTTGTAATGTAAGTGCCCAACTCTGTCATTAATGCTATTTAAGGGAAAATACTGAGGTTTAATGAATGCTAGATTACCTTTAGTTTAATAATTTATGATAACTTAACATATTTCTCTGTATATGTTGTAGTTCAACTTGATGCTTGGTTCAAATTTTATTTTCCTTTGTTCTCGGTCATGTTAATGTATGATAATGAGTTTGAAACAAAGGAAAAAAAAATTTGAACCAAGGATAAAATTGAACTACAACATATACCTTGAAAATTGATTGCTCATTCAGGAGTTTCCCTTACAATAGTTCTTTAGAGTAGAGAATACATACATACATACCGGTACATATACTTTATTAATGCTCGAAATTTACAGAGTAGCTGTAGAGCTAATATCTTCCAGAAAATACACTAAAATAAAATATGCTATATTACAATTCCAATATTATTTATAAACTATGTACAGAAAATTCTGATGAGCTTACAGACTATCCTTATTTACCTCTCACTTTCCTTTATAAGCCCCTTGATATTTATTCACCCCCCTCTCACCCCCCCATGGGAAAACTAAGGGGTTGGAAGCATCTCTCTCCCTCTGGGAGGAGTGATTATTTATGGTATAGAAATAAGCTTGGGTAACAAACATCTGGGTAAATAAAAGGAAAAGCAAGGATTAGAAAGATGGAAATGAGAATCAGATCCTAATACTAAACAAGACTTACACACACTTGGGGGATGTACAGACTTTTCTTTGCAAGTACATGAGGAATATAATGATAGTAGATCCATTATGAGACATGAAATTTGGAAAATATATCAGAATATTTTAGGTGAACTGTTTCTTAACTCCTTTTTGAACCATCTCATCTTTTATTTCATTGCATTTATATAGGTTGTGTTAGGTGCCATGGAGAGTCGCCCAAAAGATAAGCGTGTTCAACTTGCTGGGAGGTAATAACCAAGCCAGTTACACACAGTCACCTAATTTTTTGCAGTCCTTTGCATGATGGGGTCCATGGTTACTTATTTATTTTTTTTTTTTAAACATGTAGAAAAATTGTTGGTACCACATAACAATCTGTTGTTTACTTAGGTAAAGAAAATGTTAATTATCAAAAACAAAAAACCTTTTCATAATGGTCATTGATTAATCCTTATTTTGCTTTTAGTGCATCTTTGTATCATCTATCCAGAGATGAGGATGGAAACGTGAATCTGTCTGAGGAATTAAAGAGGTGACTCCATTTTCCATTAGTCCAATAATACAGGTGTACTTAATATGCAATACTACTCTTTCTCCTTTTTGAGCACCTTCCCATGGGAATCCAAGTTAGGAACCATTGGATACTGCTTAACAGGCTGCAAATGAAATTTCTAGTTTAGTCTGTTTATTTTAACTAATACAAAGCATCCAAATATTCAGTATCTCTGGGTATATCTTAAAAATCGAAGTTTGCAAAGTACTGAGGATTGTGCCGTATAGTTACAGTATGAATTTTTTTTACCATGATTGTATTTCACCAAAAGCATATATGTTTCTGATTTCAATTATTTTATTACAGTTGAACCTCGATTTTCCTGAACTTGATTATCTGGATTTCTTGATTATCCAGACTTTTTACTCTGATCCCAATTTTGTCATGAATAGTTATAAGTATGATCAAGATCAGCAGCCATATTCTTTTTAAAACTACAGTATTGAAAAGTGAAGTAGATTCAAGTTTGTTTCACTCTCAGAAAGCAAAAGCAGCACTTGCACATGTCGTAACTAATGAAGAACATTTGAGTGATGTCTGATTGGCTCATAGTTGCTTGTTGCAAAGTGAAATGGTTGTTACCTGTATACCATATTTTGTTCAAAATGATTTATAAATGTTTTGTTTTTATGATTAAATGTTGCTTTCTTATTTTAATCAGTTTTTGTTCGTCATTAATATTCTTATTCTTGATTATCTGGACTGTTTTGTCTTGTCCCAACGAGTCCAGATTATCAAGGTTTTACTATCAGTAGACTTATAATAGACTCAATTAATTGGATAGATTGGTAGGTGTCTGTATAATATTATAATCAAAAAGTTTTTATCGCTCTATATTTTAACAAATGGATCACCTGATATACATATACTCTTTCAATGCCTAAACATGCATAAGCCTTTTTTTATTTTTTCTCTCTTTTTCTGTGTGACTGAAAGACGAGTTTAACTTTTTATAAAAGTCGGACTATATTTTTGCTTTATTTATTTTTCCCAGACGTATTATTGAGGTGATTATTGGTGCAATGGATTATCATGTCGCTGAGGAGCAGGTATTATTTACAAAGACAGTTTGAGTATGGCAGTTACAGTGAAACCTGTTTCAAATTGTCTTTTTATTTTTAAAAGTCCAGATATACATGGGCATGAAAATTTTCTTTAGTTGCAGAAAAACTGTTGTCTCACTCTTTGCAACTTCAGAATTCCAAGTGATCTGGTGAGTATGCTATCATCTAATTTAACTTTTGTGCACAAGATGAATTGTCTATTTATTTACTACTTTGGTTTTCTTGCTTCTCAAAATGTGCTCAGTATCAAAATAGATGGGTAATTTTGTTTCCTCTTAAAGAAATTAATATTATGGGTGGCTTTAAGTGGTTAATACATTTGATCTCAGGTTGAGAGGTTCCCTTTCAAGCTTAGGCATGGTCAATTTATTTTTTATTTTTTCGGTGCCTTTCAAAAAATTTTCCTTTAATGGTAGAAGCCCCTCTTGAAGCAAGCTGACCTTTAGTTGATTACCAAAACCTACTTATGGGGTTTTGTATGAGCAACAATTCTGACCAAAATTTTATGTTTCATGTACTCTACAACGTTTTTCTGATTTTGAAATGTGATTTGTTACCTGCCAAAAAACCAAATTTTTTATGAGGATTTGACATTCCTTTTTTATCCTTGTGTGTATCTTAAAAGGATCTTTTCTTACCTTGCAGCCTTCTGACTTCAGAAAAATAGTGGAAGTTTTACTGCGGACTGCCACGATACATAAACCTGACCTCATTCAGAGGATTGCCATTGGAATTTGTAATATGGTGGTGTGTCAGGTAATAGTTTGATATGTATGACTGTGCAATCATTGCAACACCCCAAAAGTGTTTCTAGAAAATAAGGTAAAACTGAATACAGAGTGCAATTTAAACAAACTCTTTTGTTTTATTTTTAAAGACAACATCAGAAGTAGGAATATGGGAGGTAAGATAAACATGATTGAGAACAGAGTATCCCAACAAATCTTCTGAAGATTGTTGACATAATGATAATGATTGTAATTGCACCAGTGGTATAAAAAAAAAAAGTGGAACATGTAACTTATTGTCACAGAAGTGGGTTAGCATCCAAAGTAAAAAAAAAAAAAAAATTATAATTCCTAATTCAGTTTGAGATCCTTGATGTGAAAGGGTAAGAAATAATACAGGGAGTTAGTAATATCTCTTGAGTCTTCTTATTTAATCTGGCTGCCTCTCAGGCCTGTTGATCTGATGACAGGGTATATCTTACATGAAGATGGTAATTAATTTTTTTTTTCTTATGTCTCAATTTATTTAGATTCAAGATTCACCCAAAATCGTTGTGGGTAGAGACTTGAAGGGTGTGGAGGTAACGTCATGATACTTCTCGTATCTAAAAGCGAAATATTGTGTTAGTTATGGGTTCAGAAGGACTTTTATTGGAGGATGACCTGACTATGCTGTGATATTAAGGCTTTTTGAAGGACCTTTATTGGAGGATTTAATTTAATTTATTTAACTTTGCCGACAGGCAGGGACACTGCGACAGCTTGCGCCAATTACCTAACCCCTATTTTACCCACCCATCCCACCCCGGGGAGGACACCCATCACACAGTAATCTCGTGTGTGGGAAATTATTCATCCCTATCCAAGAAGACTAGAATATCTAACCATTTTTTTGATGTTATAGAATAGTAGCATATTCTTCTCAATTATTTTAAGACCTTGAGTGTTGGTCTGGCCGGGGCACGAACCCTCGACCTCCCACACAACAGTCCAGCGCCCTATCCATTGAGCTAACCAGGAGGCAGTAGTCAGGATGACCTGACTATGCTGTGATATTAAGACTTTTTGAAGGACCTTTAGTGGAGATGGCCTGAGTAATCTGTGATATTAAGGCTTTTCGAAGGACTTTTATTGGAGGATGACCTGACTATGCTGTGATATTAAGACTTTTTGAAGGACCTTTAGTGGAGATGGCCTGACTAATCTGTGATATTAAGGCTTTTCGAAGGACTTTTATTGGAGGATGACCTGACTATGCTGTGATATTAAGACTTTTTGAAGGACCTTTAGTGGAGATGGCCTGACTAATCTGTGATATTAAGGCTTTTCGAAGGACTTTTATTGGAGGATGACCTGACTATGCTGTGATATTAAGACTTTTTGAAGGACCTTTAGTGGAGATGGCCTGACTAATCTGTGATATTAAGGCTTTTCGAAGGACTTTTATTGGAGGATGACCTGACTATGCTGTGATATTAAGACTTTTTGAAGGACCTTTAGTGGAGATGGCCTGACTAATCTGTGATATTAAGGCTTTTCGAAGGACTTTTATTGGAGGATGACCTGACTATGCTGTGATATTAAGACTTTTTGAAGGACCTTTAGTGGAGATGGCCTGACTAATCTGTGATATTAAGGCTTTTCGAAGGACTTTTATTGGAGGATGACCTGACTATGCTGTGATATTAAGACTTTTTGNTAGAATATCTAACCATTTATTTGATGTTATAGAAAAGTAGCATATTCTTCTCAATTATTTTAAGACCTTGAGTGTTGGTCTGGCCGGGGCGCGAACCCTCGACCTCCCACACAACAGTCCAGCGCTCTATCCATTGAGCTAACCAGGAGGCAGTAGTCAGGATGACCTGACTAATCTGTGATATTAAGGCTTTTTGAAGGACCTTTAATGGAGATGGCCTGACTATGCTGTGATATGAAGGCTTTTTGAAGGACCTTTAATGGAGATGGCCTGACTATGCTGTGATATTAAGGCTTTTTGAAGGACCTTTAGTGGAGATGGCCTGACTAATCTATGATATTAAGGCTTTTTGAAGGACTTTTATTGGAGGATGACCTGACTATGCTGTGATATTAAGGCTTTTTGAAGGACTTTTATTGGAGGATGACCTAACTATGCTGTGATATGAAGGCTTTTTGAAGGACCTTTAATGGAGATGGCCTGACTATGCTGTGATATTAAGGCTTTTTTTTATCCCATCTGTATTTGTAAGATACAGTGCCACTCCTTTATAATGAAGACCTCCCTTAACAAACGTTGGTGTTACCTTTTTGGAGTATAACTAAATGGTATTTTACAGTGTCCCCTTTAGAGTGCTTTTCAATAGATTGTAGTTATTGTTAACTATTAACTGTGAAACCAAACCAAAATAATCATGCAACGGTCAATCACTAAGAGAGCTTCTTAGCGAGAGGAGCAGAGCTGAAAAATGGTGTCTTTTGGAGTCGTGTATCATCTGATCAATTAATAATTTTCTTATTAAACAAGCGTGTGTTTTCCTTGCAGAAAATTCTTCAAATTATACGATACAAGATGGGAAACAACCCGGTAACGATTTCTTGTTCCTGTTTATTTCCACTTTACTGATATCTATTGCAAACAATGGGTAACCTCTGGAGGGTCTTCTTTCATTGAGTTTATCAGACTGGATGTAATTCTACGTAGTGATTGGCTCTTGAGCATACAGCTTCAACTGATGTGACTGATACACTAAATAACTTTTGTGTAGGAGCTCGGTGGCGTCATGGAAGGCTGTTGGAGTGCTTTGTGGAACATGACAGGTACAAAAAAAGTGAATTAAGCAGTGTTTGTGAAGACTCAGTGTGCTCCTCTCCAGACCCTCTTCTTTTTTTGAAAATTTTAGTTCCTTCATGATAGACAACCAATAGAGCAGGTTAAGCAAAAATCTCATAATTCCCAGTTACAGCCCCACTACAAGTCGCATTGGTATCTACCTACTCTGATGAGAGGTGATGTAGCCATCATAGAGGCAAGCGTTGAGTAGGAAATATGACTATCCTTCGATATTGACGTAGTAGTGGTTAGATAAAAAAAATATTCAATTGAAGTTCTGTTGTACCTCACTTAGATGAAACGCCTGAAAACTGCGCACTGTTTATAGTTCACGGAGGACTAGAGCTATTCAGGAAATGTCATGAGGTAGGTTTTCGTATCTTAAAATTCTTTTACATGTAAGATTAGAGAAAATAGCACGAGGATCCCCTGTCATTGGATCCTAAGTGATATGCAATGAAACGATGTTCTTGGCGGTGTGTGCAGGTGGGTGGAAGTGCACAGGGGAAAAGTTCTGTTTCTCTCTTCTCTGAAAGTTCTTCCAAACCGTGATCTTCTTTAGTTCTTGTATTTTGATAATTTATATAGGTAATCGCATGGGGCCGAGTAAAATTAAGGATTAATATCACTTGTGTTTTCGGAAGTTGCTGAAATTGCCCGAGTCGCGCAGCGACGAGGGCAATTTCTGCAACTTCCGAAAACACAAGTGATATTAATCCTTAATTTTACCAGGAACCATGTGATTACTTGTTTATAATATAAGGGGCAAAATGTTTTCTTACTGATCTCGCGCAAAACGGGACGCCATTAATTGTTACAAAACAAACAGAAATTTCTTTACCTTGGCAGCCATTGCTAAGCGATTTTCAGTCAATCATTTTCAAGTAATTTTGCCCGGGGCAATTACAAAAATTAAGAAAAAATGCCCTTTTGTCTTGACCAATCACAATTCAGTAATTTCGCCCCTTATATGATAATGATGTTTATTATTGTTATCATTGTTGCAATCATCATCATCAGTAAGAGATATTTTTCCTCATTTTATTCCTTTTTTTGACAGAGAATGAGCGATCGACGAGATCTGGTGCGGAACATGTTAGGACTTATGGTGAGTGACACCCCCTTTCCACTGGGCTCTAAGACGTGATTGGCATGCAACTTTTCGTGACAGTGCCAACACATTATCCATCGAATAGGCGAGCAAGACTGAGAGACAAACGAATCAGCTAGAGGGCGTATTCTAATCCAGCACCAAACTGTCCTATGTTACTTAAAAGGAAGTTAACAAAAGCTGGAAAATTGGGAATACTGTCAGACTTTTTTGCGTCTCGTAGATGTTGTAGAGGCGTTGTACCTGTCTTTGAAATCGTGGTACTAGTGGTTCTTTGGGGCAATTCTATCCACTGTAACCTTTAGAACTTTTATGACGACTGCATTCTGGGTGTAAAGAAAACTGGTGGGACCACTTTTAATCCCGTACGCATTTGAAACCTCTTTCTTTCTGTGATCTTTTCCTTTTTGTCGTTGTCAGGGTAATGTGGCAGAAGTGGCTGGACTACGACCAAAACTGATGCCATTTGTTCATGTTTTCTAGTAAGTTTAGCTTGTCGCTAAATTTCCTCAGAGTTAAAGAATAGAAAGCGTCAACTTAATCCAGAGAATTCTGCAAATCTGATTGAAATAAAAGTGAATTGTCAGCGGACTGAAGAAACATTTGAATGATTAACTATTACCGACAGTAATCTGGGATTATTTTGGGTTTTCTCCCCTCCGTTATGTGATAGATCCAAAAGATTCGCGCAAGTTTCCACTTGGTCATCGGCAAATTCCTGCGCCATGGGCAGATGATTCGTTTTTACTGAGTCCACTTTAGTTCCTTGATATATTTTCTGATATATTTTCTTTTGCTCTAATCGACCTTTGTGATTATTATGATTTTGGTTTTACGCAAATCAATAGAAAAGCATTCTTAAAATACACTTGACGGGTGATAACTTAAGATTAAGACCCTTGACAGCAATCATTCTCTTAGCTTGATCTTCTTGTGCACGAGCCGTACACTCACAGAGAAGCTCTTTAATTTTTTCAATTAACTTGTTCCTCTTAGCGAATTGTTGCTCACTGAGGGTGAACTGGAGGTGACATACAATGCAGGAGGGATAGTTAGTCACCTGGCTTTTGATGGAGTAAACAACTGGACAAGTCACACCGTCTCTCGTACACAAGCGCTGCAAAGATTGGTAGGTTAATGTTGAAGCCCACTTTGTGTTTTCTGGAGTTGTTTGACACATTACTAACCGCTTACTTTACTATCATTTCTCTAACTTCAGGCGGAGACAGTGGATAAATGGGACATTGAAACAGCACGACAAATGAGCTATCGGTAAGATGATTAATCCATGAATTAGTCTGCGCGACAGACGACAATTTTTTTAACTTATCTGGCGAGCGGAGTGCAAGGCGAGTGCAAAGGACGATTTGCACACTAGAAAAAGGGCGAGAAAAAAACAAATAACGACGTTTTCTTTTTCGCGTGCTTCACTTATGCGTTACTGATGCACGTCAGAAAAACGCAAAAATGACGCCTGATCTTCAGGCTACCCAATCAAAGTACTCGATCGTGTAGTGTGACCGTCCGGGCATGCGTGGTCATGAAAGTCAGATGAAGAGTTGTTTGTCAGTCAAGTGTTAAAAGTCTGGTCCGTGAAAACTGACTGTTCGGCTTTGCTATGATGCTATTGGCTGGAATGCTGCAGTGGTGTTGGTCAGTCTCAATCCGTTAGTGACATAAAATCGCTCTGTTCAAAAAACAGACTTACAGCATTCGACAGACAAACAATTTCTTATTTAACATTGATGATGCTCTCAGTTCAGGTCACAGTGTCAAAGCGTCTATCACTGTCTAGACGGCAGGACAACAGTCTTTTTCAGTTCTACTCTTATCTGGACGATTTAGCTACACTATCCCATAAAAGATTTATTGGGGCGCTCGCTAGAAATACTCGATCGGATCTTGACTTTTTTTTCCCACAAATGGTCCACTTTAGTTCGTAAAAGTGAGCCATTTTTTTTAAATAATCATAAATTGTTTCTGTTATATCGTTATTTGTGTTCACTCTTTTTTTCCCTTTCATTCTTCAGCTCCTTTGCTCCAATATTAAAGCTGATATCAGGCTGTGATACACCAGAGATACATTACTGGGCTACCTGGGCACTGGCTAACCTCTGCAATGTTGAACGTAAGTTAGAAGTGTTGTTTCACTCTAAAGGCTCTGGTTGTTCAAAGAGCGGATAACGCTATCCAACGGATAAATCGCTATCCAGCGGATAAGTGTTACCAAAACGTACTGCACTATCCACCGGACAGAGATTTATCCAGTGTATTGCGTTATCCATCCTTTGAACAACCGGGGCCAGATCGTCGAAACAACTGTGCACTCTCTTCTGTAGGACAATCTTCATACTTTGATTCCCTGTGTAGTTTACTACAAGTTGATCAGGCTAAAACAAAGAGTAATAAAGAGAAGTCTACGAAAAACGCCTTGATATGGGATTCAATGTTTTCGCTTTTTTTTACCTTGTCTTGTATTTGTTTAAGCCCTATCATTTGATCCTATTTCAGCTGAGAAATATTGCAAACTGGTCACCGACGAAGGTGGTGTCGAGTTATTGCAAGATCTACACTGCAGCCCCAGGACTTCTCAGAGGGTCCGAGAACTCGCCGACCAGACTCTTCGTCGGTGCCGACTACACGCCGGAAACGACTAAAACGTGGAGGTTGTTTGTTCATACTTAGGCAAATCAGTCGACTGTTAGTGGTAATCAGCCCTAAGAGGGTATGAACTGGGTTACTTAATGTAGGAGGAATGTTTCAGCAGGTGGTCTCTCGCTCTCGCCTTATTTTTTGGTCTGTTTGGTGTAGGAGACAAACCTTAATTAACGATTCAAATAAATCTTGATGAAGTTTTTAATGAAAAGTTCTTAAATGCAGGTATGCAATCTGTATGATTTCTTTGTAAGGTACGTTTGGCTAAAAAAARTGTGCCAAATATAAATTTTGATATATTCAGAACGGTAGCGTCGAGATAAATACAAAAAAATGATAAGAGAAAGTCAGTGGCGGAAATTAAGCTATCCATACTATGAAGGAAATCCTGCTAGCCTGCGGAGCAGGCATTCTAGTGGAGTTTGGGCGAAAATTAGACCGCGCGAAAAATGGAGCGAGGCGAAAAATTTGGAGGTGGGGGAAGGGCGGGAGGAGAGAAGAGTTCCCCTCTCTCCTCTCGCCCTCCCCCCCACCTCCTAATTTTTCGCCTCGCTCCATATTTCGCGCGGTCTAATTTTTGCCCAAACTCTACTAGTACGCCTGCTCTGCAGGCGAAAATCCTGCTAGCGAACTGCTCTCACTTTCTCGAGGCCTAAGAGATATTGTTTGTATGTAGGGAAGATGAAAAATGCTTTTACCATCGAAAGGCTTTAAAATTAATCGGTTTAGGAGTCAACAGCCTCATTGTCGCTGGACGTGCTGCAAAGGAATGAATAAATGTTACTAATCCAAGTTTGTTTTGTTTGTTTGTTTGTTTGTTTTGTTTTTTTTTTGTCGTTGTCGTCGGCGGTGTATCATGATTGCTTGTGAACTAATTATTGCAAGAAGAAATAGGAAACATTCTTCTGATTTACAAGTATGAATTGCTGTTAACTTTCTCCAAATAAGGCGAAATACTCTTTGTGCGCTCTTGTTAGAAACGAGCTTTCCCAGAACCACGCCAGGACAATATGAGGGACCTAACGCAACCACGACGGCGACGGCAACGAGGACGTGGAAAAACAAGAGATCTAATTGGCAGAACAATAGCTCAGCACGTGCGTTTTAAAACTTTGTACATTTCTTAGCCGTCCAATGCAAAACAACAACGTGAAATCGCCAAAATTTGCGTCGTCTGCGAACCGAAACCGCGACGCCAAATTATTTTAATTTCCATTTGGAACTCAACGCTACTTTTATACGTCATGCTGAAGTTGAGCGGTGGCGCCGTATAAGACAGTAAGCTCCTGCAACCATTTTTGAAATTCTAACTAAGAGTAGAAATTTATTTTTTAATCGAAGTCTTCCTTAGCGTTGCCGTCCTGATTGCGTAAGGTTCCTATTAATTTTGAAGGAATCAGATCGTATACCTAACTGTGTACAATACGTCCTATTATGAGAGGGGTAAATCCTGCGCACATTTCACGCATATCGAAAAATAGAAATAACAGAAAAAGCAAAAAATTCACGGTTCACGGGGTTTTAATGTTGTATTTTCACTGGAAATTAAAAACGATTGATCCCGTGCCCACCTCCATCAGTCCTGACAATCAAGCGTTTGGAATTCTGAACAACACTCGTCAGTGGACTTTTTTTCCATGTCCACTACTGTTCTGCTTTGAAAGTATATTAATTTTTAGATAATGAGAAGGAATTACTTCTTGGTCGCCCCAGAGAGTGCGGGATTCAAAGACTACTTCATCGGCTAAATTTCTCCTCCTCATCAGTAATCACTTCTGTGATAATTTTGCGCCCAGATTTTCCGGTCTCCGTAAGCATAGATAATAAAGTAACAATCCTGGGCAGATTTTCCATGGTCGGTGAGTGGTGTGTATGCATAGTTAGATTTTATTCAGGTGTGTGGTCATCATTAGAGTTAGAAATCTTTGTTAAGAGCAGGTACAATCACATTGAACAAGCTGTTGGCACATTTAAGTCGTTTTATTCTATTTGCAAAAATCAGTCACATGGACTGGACTCATTTTGTGTCGTAAGTGATAAGCCGGGAAACTTTTACCATACCATCAGCCAATCAGATGCCGTTAACAAGTATTTACGTATTTACAGTTGAGTTCTTATTGGCTATTAGAGAATGAATCTTTGTTGTGGTTGGCCGTTGTAGTTACTTTGGTTTTACACCGGAAACTCAATCGGAAAGCTTTTCAGCTGCTATTTCCGGTTAGCCCAGCACGTACGACGTTGATTTTCCGCGACCAGTCAAGTCATCTTTCAACAGGGACACCACGCTTGGGATAAAGTTTTTTATACTATTATTTGTATCCAGTCAAAAACAAAAGATCGCACTCGTTTATCTTCATTTGAATTCAGAAACATGCTAGAAAAATTTGTCTTTTCACCAAATTCGCAGAATAAACGGATGTCCTTAGTAGCCGGAATGTGGGGTGATTGAAAACTGAAAGATACTGCGGATTTTCTTGGAATTAGCGAGGGTACTTGATCTTACGGATGGGAAAATAAAAATATTTCTCGTAAAGAATCTCCAAAAAGTGAAAGCTGTTTCACATTTTGGGGAAAAACAGAAGACTACTGTGAGAGCATTTTGAAAAGATTGCTTCGAAGAATTTCGTAGAAAACGTAAAATTGGAATCTTTACGCACTGTGGAAGTCTTCAACTCAGGTAACTCAAACAATTCTTAAGCAAATGATCAGAGCTGAGAAGTACGTAATCTTTAAAACGTATTTTGAAAACAGGTCCCTTGAATTCAAGAGAGTAAATACCTGTTCAATTCATTCAAGACTTGGGTAAACTATTTTTACTCTTTCTCTAGCGGGAAAATTCGATTGTGACCCAAACGTAGTTCACGTTTCCACGAACCAAGCAAGTTTCCGTGCCCTTTTGTTTTGCGCCTCAGTTTTGTAAGTTGATCTGGATCGCCGGCTGAGACTTCAATGAGCAGTTATTTGGTCTCAGGCGTGTTTCATTTCAACATATTTCGATGACGGATTTATGGGAAGCGATTCCACTTGAAAGCTGTATAAACTAAGGAGTCAAAATGTAGACTAAGCGGAGCAGTAAAGAAATGTTACCCTCTTAAGCTTCTTAATTACCAATTCAAGTAGATTCATCTAAAAGGGGTCTCTTTTATTCATCCCTTTTATTTATGGAGCTAAACTGTACATAAGCGACCCGTAAATAGCAAGAAGAACGTGAAAAGAATATATAATGTTGGAATGTTGAATAGTGACCAAACTCCAATCGGTGTATTTAAAGATATTATTAAAAAATGAAAGAAATTTACCACAAGCTATGGGGGCACCTTCGAGGAAATATGGAGGTTGGTTTGCTTTTTGGCATCTCAGGTTGCAATTTTTGAAGTGAAAACTATGGCCTAATTGTTTGTCGATTGGTTTTTGCTTTCTTGATTCAGTTGCCAGGTGGCAGAGAATCACATTACTTGTCCTATATACTGATCAACATTTTATAAAAGCTTGAAAGGCCCACATCAGCGCCGCCCGCACTGAAAAATTTAAGAAACTAACACAACGAAATTTCTTAATCGTGTTAAAATGCAAGCAGGTCGACCGCGTTGTTTAATGCTCTCAGGAGACGTTTTTGTGAGCATAATTGAAATTACGCTTAGATTCTATTATCGCCTAACATTCGACCGAGAAACATTTTATTAGAAAACGCTGCAAGCTGTAGTGTAGTCATTGCGACTGCAATATTTCACCTTGAACAGTGGAGAATGAACGAATTCATCAAAGCAAGTAAGGAGTGCCGGACATAGGTGAACCGTGCATACCAAGTGTACTGAAGCTTTATGACTGTGCAAATCACAGCACGGATCGCATATTCTTTTAGTACCTCGTCATCACGCTCTTTCTTAAAGAGTTGTTACACTTTGCCGCATATCTGCGCAAAACACTTATTTAATTTACTCATTATTGTAATGGGTAAAATGTTATGATACAGCTTCCAACTCAGTGCGTGCCGGTCATCGCGGAAATCGGGGAAGGTACTTTAAATAGCGTATCTTTCAGTTTATTTGTTCATTAAGGTACCCATGACACATTTAATGCACCTAGATCCTTCAAAATCTTTTAATTCTTCGTCATCTGTTGGTCTTGTCCTAGCCCTTTCGGGGTCGGTCTACCCTAGCAATCCAATAATTATTCCTTTGTTTCCATGCAATAAATGGAATTTTTCATCGACTTAGAAAAGGAAAAAAAACAACTCAAGAAGTAACTTCCTCACGTAGCCTTCTTGAACTTGGGATAAACTCTGATACAAAGCCATCAAGCTCGAAATAACGAGATAAAAAAGCATTTGTATGTAATGCGAAATATTCTTCACGACTCACACAATTGACTTTTAATGATTTCGAGGTATTCTCTTGTGGATTATATTCTAAGTCGAAGATGAGACAAAAAGCTTCCTGAGCCCCTTCCGAAAATACTCAAGATACGTTTAGGAATGTGGACCACAGGGGATTGTAGCAATTGTGATTTATTTCCCTATGGTTTTTCAAGAAGCAGATGTGTTTAAGCAAGGTTTCAGGATTCTGGGGCTTCGTGCTTTCTGCGCTTGTCAACTTCTGGGATGTTTGCTTCCGTTTCGAACCGGAAACTGCACGGGAGTATGACCTGTCATCGAGATTAGCGCAAATACGTCAAAGTGATATTCTGGCTAGTAAAGGTTCTATGTAGGACACTAAGCCTGAAAAACACAGGTTGGCTGACGTATAGTAAGAAAAACTGAAGGATGTCGCTCGATTTAACCTTTAAGCACTAACAGTGACCAGCTTCTAATTTATCCCCACAATAACAGTGCTGGATCATTAACTCAAATCAGGAAAATGAAGGGAATGACTCTTTCATTCTTAAACAAATTCTACCCGTCAGTACCAAAGGAAATGTATAGAGAACAGTATGGAGAATATGGAATACTGATGTTAAGGTATAGACGTAGAACGTCAAAAAATTTTCCCTCGATCGTCACTTCCCAATTTGCAAAACTTTGAGGTTAAGTGTTACGTCTATCGGGAGAAGGAAAGCCACGATGATGAGCCTTCTTGCCCTGATTATCAGCTATAATCTAAACCAAGCTCTGTCAACACGCTCTGCGTGTCTACTTAAGACGAGGGCAAACACTTTTTTCTCAAAGCCAGAATTTCTCACTCAGAAGCACGTAGAGTGTGGACGGGAATGAAAAAAAAAACTTTATACTAGAGTTCGAAATCCATGCGAAAAACATCTTAGAATTTGCTAGAGGTAAAGAACCGAGTTTACTAGAAGGGACTCAAGAATATAATGATCAAAATTTACATCTACAGCTACGTTTCAACGAGAATTTAGTTGTAATTATCTAATTTGGGAACTGACGGTTTCATTATTATTCATTAAATTGCTTAGAGAGGTTTGCAAGCTCTCATTCTGAACTTGTTAAGTTAAGCA